ATGTTTTTCGAGATTTTTGTCTTATCAGGGTATCGATTTTTGTCTTAGATAGGATATCTTTTCTTGGAAGATAAACAGCAAAATTTTTACAAGCTCTAATTTTAATTAATATTGAATTCCGTTGATTTTGGCATTGATACCAGGCACATTAAATGTCTTAAACAGGGTATCAAAAATCGGAATTCTGTCGTAAACAGGGTTGGAAAATCAGCGATATTTGTCTTAAACAGGGTCAGGGTATGAGGGGCCGCGCCGCACCTCCCCACTCAGGAATACATCGAGTATCCCCCCCGGGAATCTCGGCCATACATTTCTAACAATTTTCGCCCAGAAAGTTCGGTGTTCGATCGAAATTTTGGTCCCTTCTGGGAATGAAAGGGTTACATTCAGCGCTAAAAGTCATTAGGATCTCAATAGTCTCCATCGCAGCCGTTACTCCCCCTTCAACGGATATAAATGGGAAAGAAAGCGTGACAGAGACGAAAGCGTGTCGCGTGACCAGATAAAAGAGTAATTGATTAGACTAATGAAAAATAAAATAAGGTGCAAGGTTTCCCTTTGACCCATCCATCACTATAATGTACAGATTAAACCAAGACCCCCCATTTGCCGTTCACTTTACAAAATCTCCTCACAAGCTGATGAAGAGTTAACTTACAACACCTTAGTGACCCGTCCTTAGTTAAGTAAAGGTGGGTTTTGTTTAGAAGAGGGTGGGATTTTTTTTTTCAATTTTAAACTTAGGAGTTTTTCATCTTCTGTCCTATCCTTAACTTTATAATCCTTAACAATTGTTAGCAACCACTCTTGTTGACTGTGTACATGACACCATTCAATTATCTTTAAGTAATTGTTTCCGTGTTAGGTTTTTGGTGTTCAGTTTTATGGAGAATGTTGGAGTGCTAGTGGCAAGCCAAACGAGACAGAGTACAACAAATATGGAGTTGCCCCACCTGAGGACTGCTGGGAAGGAGTTGGAAAGCATTCGACAAACTTTGTTTATAAGATAGTTTAGTAGAAGGTGAGAATGATTTCATTGTTATGAAACGGCAAATTATGATTGTCTTGTTCTCAACGTCCATAAGATGATTTACCTATCAAGCTCCGTGAGGAAATAGGAATAAATAAGAGAGAGCCACCGTAGGATAAGCTTTCACGTGTACTTTCACATTTACAGAAAGCTAGTGTTTATACAAAGTAGCAAAACTACAGTGGAATGAAATATTCTACAAATCAAATTTTGCTGAGATTGCCGCACACTTGAGGCAGTGAAGCAACAGGAATATAGTTGCAAGAGAAATAATACAGACTTAGGCCAGTCTGGATTCACCACTGACATCTACATGTGTCCTGTCCTCTTGTAGAGAATTTGTTTTGTAGTGTTTAATAACGGAGACAACCT